ATTAATATTTTGTATAATTTTATAATCATATTAATATATAAAATTCTTTGTAAAACAATTATCAAATAATAATGTAATTTTTTTATAATAAAATATTTAAAAAAACTTATACTAATGACATTTCACAATAATTATAATCACAACTTAAATCTTTTTAATGATAAAAAAGCAACTTATGTGAACTTGGCCTATGAGCCAAGTGGCGTTAGCTACACTTGAAAGTTTATTTCTCCTTCTTTCAAGGACAACGGTTCTATCGGCCCCATGGTAAAAATGTTTAAAAAAAAAAAAAAAAAGACAACTTATGCAAAGTTGCCAACTCTTTCTTTTAGCGGTGAAAACTTATTTGTAGCCCTACTTTGTTAAATTTGAAGGTTTTAACCTCTTACCTTATATTATGACATTTTTAGCCTCTTACCTTATATTATGACATTTTTAGCCTCTCATTTTATTAGATTTGTAGGTTTTAACCCCTCACCTATTAAAATTAAAGAAAATAGCCCTCATTTTATATTGACTGTTGACTCTGTTAATTGAAAATAGATTTTTATCAACTAATAATCAACTAACGGCCAATTAATAGAATTAACAAAATATTATAAAATTAGTTATGTTAATTCTGTTAACTGAAAGAAGGTTTTTGCCAGCTAACAGTCAATTAACAATCGACGAACAAAGTTAACAGTCAGTTAACAGAATTAACAACATGTTACAAAATAAGAGTTATTTTTTTCAATTTTAATAGGTGAGGGGCTAAAAGTGCCATAGTATAAGATGATGGGTTAAAACTTATAAATCTAATAAGATGAGGGACCAAAAACTTTCAAGACAAAGGTGAGGGGTTAAAAGTAGACTTTTGCCTCTTTTACCGGGCCAATGATAGTAAATGGCAAACCGGCCCAGAAAGTCACTCGTGCGAAAAAACAGGCCTTAAAATAATCGGTTAGGGTCTGAGCCCAACAGATTACGAGTCGAGTAAGGCAATTATAATTGGGCTAACCCAAGTAGAAAGCACCGAATTTCGAAACCAAATAAAAAAATCCCATGCCCTCCAAGTACTTCT